TTTTCCTTGATATATATCATCATACTATTAAATTTAAGTTACAATGCTAATTTTAAATAATTATTCTAAGTTTTATTCTTTCTCATTAATAATTTTAGTATGTTTGACAAATTATTATTCAATAGGAGATATAGCATATAATTATATGGTTTTCTCTTCTTTTTATATCAATTTTAAAGACATTTTTTTAGTTTTCAATTGATTATCATTCTTCAAAATAACTTTATTTTAAATTAAGTCAATGTCAAAGTAAGTAAACAAAAATAGACTCAATAATTCCTTTTAAGTATTTGAATAATCTGATTAAAAGAGCAGATTATGAATTAATGATTCAAATCTAATATGCTATAATTGTTATGGATCTTTCTCAATATATTCTAATAATTAATGAAATAATGAAATTTATAGAGAATAAGGTTCTATAAATAAGTTACTTTTAATATTATCAACAGCTTTTTCCTTATTAAACAAAGTTGAAGACACTTTCAATTCAAAATATTATTTATTTATTTGTTATCCAAATACTTAAGGAATATTAAACGAGTTGCTTTTCTTCCCTTCTGGACTTAGTAAATCATTTAAATGATATTTTAAATCTCTAGATATTTCTATTTCTAGTGTTAGCAATACAAATTTCTAAAAGCATTTCTTAAAATCAGATTTATACATATCTTTAGATAATTTAATGACTGTTGAAAAAATCTTTTATGAATAACCTTTTAGATTAACTGATGGTCCTCCATCTATCATAAATTATCTAGAAGTACAAATAAACCTAAACAACAAAATACTATTTTTTATTTTCTATTTATTTACTATGTATTCCTGTAATTCTTTATCTGTAATGTTATCAATTATATTTAATTATTTATTGTGAAAATTAATTTTTTCAATTCTTTTAATATGATATTCATAAGAGATTATCTTGTTAATCAAATTCATGTTGATGTATTTTACTGTTGTGTAATTAATGTTTGGTAAAATTTCATAAGCATAACCACATATCTTTTTTATTTTGCTTATTTATGATTAATGAAATTAGCAAAGATAACTTTGAACATAAGCACAACTATTAATATCTTCATTAGTAATTTTAACTTTTGCTCTTTAAGTAAGACCTGATATAAATGAATGATTGTCTTTTTTAATATTGTTTTAAAGATCAAAATTAAAGATTTATGAATATTATTTAAATTTATCTAACTCTCTCAATGCTTCAGCAACTGTAGGCCAGATTGTGACTCCTATTTTTTCTCTTCCTTTTGAAACAACTGGAAGATCAAAACGATAAAAATTATAAGAATTACCTTCTTATGATGCATATAAAACTATAAAATTTTTATCTGCTGTTAAATCTTTATATTTAATTTTCCAAATTTAAATTTTATTCTAAAACAGAAGTTTATACTTTAAAGTTGGATAATATAAATGCTATTATTTTACTTATTATAAAGTTCCATATTTTTCCTAAAGATAAGTGATATCATCTGTATTATAATTTATAAGACTTAATTTTTTAGCCAAACATATAGCTTTAAAAAAACCAAATCCTTTCCCTTTTATTAAATCTTTCTAAGAGTCTTTTTTTTCATCAAATTCTCCTCTTGGTGTTGGTTAACTTTGAGCATTTGCTAACTTTTCAATATGATTACCAACCATATCAGGGGCAGTTTTAAATCGATTAAAATCCAAAAAATTTGTTATGGACTAAGGCTTTGATTATACAGGACCAAGGACTGTTTATTATTTCTCTTATTAACGCTTTTTTTTAAATACTCCCATTCGTATCAAGGATTTAATTTTATTGATATTTGTTCTAACTCTTTCACTAAAATTTGCTTTAAGTTATACAAACTAGGATTTTAGCCCTAATCTTGGTTTAATTGCAAAGGAATTTTATTTTGTAAATTTAGATCTTCTTTTTGTTTTCTTAATTAATTCTTTTATTTATAATTATCTATCACTTACAATTTAATAAGGTGGATCATCAACATATGTTAATATTTTTAAAAAGTGTTTTGTAATTAATTTTGGTAATTTTTTTCCTCCAGGGGATTCTAAATGAAAATATCTTAAATTAAATAGAACAACTAAACTCATGATGCTAATTTTTGGTTTTGGTGTAGACAAAGCTTAAGACATAAATTTTGTTGGTTCTTTAGATGTTAATTTACTATCTAATACTTCTTAGATGATTTCTTATTTTCTAAGTGGAGAAAATTCCTCTTATTTACTCTGTCTCTTAGTCATTGGAACAGAAGTAATAATATTTTTATAAATCTTTCCAACTGAAGGTTTTTAATGTAATGGCTTTCGCTTTTAAAAAGATTTAATTTTATAATTATCCACTTCCAACCACATTTCTTTGCTAAGTATAGATTCAGGCTAAAACTAACTAGGTGGTCGGCTTACTGAAGCTTATCTACTATGAAAAGTCGATTTAACCACCCTCTCTGATTACTTAGTTAAATCTAATTAAATCTATTAGATTTGCTAAGCATTATATAAACTTGAAATAGACTCATAATGAGTGTCTCTTTTAAATGTAGAAGATTATTTCAAATTTTCTTCTGAAGATAAAAAACTAATTAATGATCTAGCTACCTTATGATTAGGTTTTTAATCAAATCTAAAAATTTTTCTTTTAAATAATCCTTTCCCTAACTTTTCATAATATTTATCCATCATTTCTAAAACTTGATCATATTTCTTAGCTAATTATTAATCAATTGATTATTAAGGTTTCTTATAAAATTGCTGAGATATTTACAGTAATATCTAAATCTCATTAAATAAATTTTCAGCTAAGCTTGGAGCTATTCCTCTACTGATAGGATATAATAATTTTATCTCAAAATAAATAAACTAAAAGAAATCCTCTTTAGGCATATTTGCACATGCTTTAACTGAATCTATCAATTTTGGAGACAAATATACAACATTCTCTTAAGCATTTAACAAATGCATCTCAGTTACAAATGATTTAAGATTATACATTGTATAATATTCGTGTTTAATATTCATTAAAAAATGAATAGATTGCTATTCTTCTCCCATTAAATAGGTTTGGTAAGCTTAAAATATTAAAAATTTCAGTCTTATTAAAGTATTTTTAAATTATGAGAGTTAAGGGAGTATTACTTAATCAAAATAATACAATTGTTTCTTCATCGATTTTTATTTAAGCTATTTATTTTTTAAGATAGCCCATTTTAACCACAAATCCATAACTGAATTCGAAATTTGATATTTTTAATAAAATAGCTTATACTTTTTCATTTTATCTATACTTTTTCCATTCATAAGAGTATTTGTAATTTCATTAAGATCTAACAGCATTCTTGCAATCAAAACTCTTTATAATTATTCTGATTGAACATATTCTATTCTGGGAACCATAAAATTTTCTAATACAAACTATTCAAAACCTAAATTTTTCCTTTAATTAAGTTTCTTCATATAGCCCAAACTTTCAAGTTAAAGTAATTTAGTTTCTTTTTAGAATAAGTGGCTGAAATTTAGGCATTATAATAAATAGTAATTCATTTATTAAATAATAAAGTGGAGAATATAAAATTAAAAACAAATCAAAGTAAAGCAGACTAAATAACGTAACTTTTAGTAAGTTTGAAATTATTTCAATTCAAGAATTAAATTACTTCCTTTGTTCTCCATGAAAATACCCTTTTCATTCCAAAATTACTTAGAATTCAACCTATATAAATGATTTACTATTTTCACTAATCCAAATTGATTATAAAGAGACATACTTATAGTACATTTTAATAAATATAAATAAAATGATTAAGTAGAGAAAGTCTTCTAGGATATATGTAAAGATGAAATAATGAATCAAATTTATAGATATTTATATCTCAGATTAAGTTATAATAATTATTTACATTTGTTATTTCTTATCAATAAATTTGATGTTTATCAGATTTGAGTAATTATAATTGAAACTCTTTTAAAGATTTTACAAAATGGATGTAAAATTGGGAAATAAAAAGAATTAATGTAAAGAAAATTTAAATATATTATTTTGTGATTTTTCATAATGTCTGAATAGCCTTAACCAGATGGAACTTAAAATGATTATATATAATCATTAAGAGAGGAAGAAAACTTCCTTATGATAAAATATAATGAAAAAAGGGAAAACGAAAAGATGCAAATGGAAGAAGCTGCAAAAAAAATTGTTCAAATTGATCCTATAACTCAAAAAAAGTTCGATAGACCTACAAGAGCAGGTGGTGTTTATGTACCTCCACATAAGTTGAGGGAAATGGAAAACGAAATAAAAATGGGTAATAAAAATAGCGTTGAATACCAAAGATTAATGTGGGAATTGTTAAGAAAATCAATAAATGGTATTATTAATAAGGTGAATATTACGAATATTTAAAATATCATTGTTGAATTATTTAATGAAAATATTTTAAGAGGTAGAGGATTATTGGCAAGAGCAATTATAAAAGCATAAATGGCATCACCTAATTTTACAATGGTTTATGCTGCTTTAATTTCTGTTATCAATACTAAATTACCAGAGATAGTTAATTTGATAATAAGAAGAGTGATTGTATAATTTTAAAGAGCTTACAAAAGAAATAATAAAATAGTATGTATGGCAATTACAAAAATGATTGCCCATCTAATAAATTAAAAAGTTTTAAGTGACTTAGTTGGATTAGAATTATTATATATACTTTTAGAGAGTCCCACTGAAGATTCTGTAGAATTAGCATGTGATTTTACAATAGAATGTGGATAAGTTATGAGTGATATTGCTCCATAAAATGTTTCCACAATATTTGAAAGATTTAAGGGAATATTGCATGAAGGAACTATAAGTAGAAAAGTTTAGTATAGAATTGAGTAATTGTTTGCAACTCGAAAAACTAAATTTGTTGATCATCCAGGAGTTATTCCTGACTTAGATTTAGTTGAAGAAGATGATTAGATTACACATCAAATAGATATAGTTGATGAATTAGATGCAGAGGATAATCTAAATTTGTTTTAGTATGATCCATTTTTTGAAAAAACAGAGAATGAATGGGAAGAAATCAAAAAAGAAATATTAGGTGAAGAAAACATTATTATGTTAAAAACTAAATAATAAGTTGATTTTATGCCTGAGATAGAAGAGGAATAAGAATAAGCTAAAGATTTTACAGAAAGAGATCTTTTAAGTTTAAAAAGAGTTATATATTTAACAATCTAAAGTAGTGTAGATTATGAAGAATGTTTGCATAAAATAATTAAAATGTAAACAGGGATTGGTCATGAAGATGAAGTTTGTAATATGATTATTGATTGTTGTATGCAAGAAAGAACATATTTAAGGTTTTTTGGACTTTTGGGATAGAGATTATGTGAAATCGCTGAAATCTTCAGAGATAATTTTATGAAATGTTTTGTAGAGAAGTATGCTACCATGCATCGTTATGAAACTGCAAAAATTAGAAATATTTCTAAATTCTTTGCTCATCTCTTTTTTACAAATGCTATTGATTGGAGAATCTTAAAGTGTATATCATTGACATAAGAAAGTACTACCTCATCAGGTAGAATTATGATTAAATGCTTATTCTTGGAATTAGCTGAAAATATGAGTTTGCCTGTATTAAAATCAAAATTGATGGATCCAGAACTCAAAGATTATCTTGCAGGTCTATTCCCAGTCGATCATCCAAAAAATACAAGATTTTCTATTAACTTTTTCACTAGTATTGGATAAGGTTTATTAACAGAAGAGTTGAGATAGATATATGAATAGTAAAACAAAATAGAATTCTAGCATGCTCAAGAAGTAATTGAAATATTTTAATTTATAGGCTTTAAAATAATTTGGAACTTCTGCTGAAGAAGATAGTGAGAGTGATGAAAGTGATAGTAGTGAGGATTCATCATCAGATGATAGCAGTGACAGTGATTCATCAAAGAATAAATAAAAAAAGACTCAACAAGATAAAAAAAAAAAGGAAGATGAAGATAATAAGGCTCCAATTAATAGTGCTAAAGAAAAAACAAAAGATAAGGAAAGAGGAAAATTAAAAGAAAAGGAGAAGTAGAGAGAAAAAGAAAGAGAAAAGGAGAAAGAAAGAGAAAGAGAAAAAGAAAAAGAGAAGGAAAGAGAAAAAGAAAAAGAAAAAGAAAAGGAAAGAGAAAGAGAAAGGGAGAAAGAAAGAGAAAGAGAGAAAGAAAGAGAAAGAGAGAAGGAAAGAGAAAGAGAAAGAGAAAGAGAGAAGGAAAGAGAAAGAGAAAAATAAAAAGAAAAAGAAAGAGAAAGAGAAAAGTAAAAAGAAAAAGAAAGAAAACGAGAAAAGGAGAGAGAAAGAGAAAGAGAAAGGGAGAAGGAAAAAAAATAAAAAGAAAAAGAAAAAAAGGATCAGAAAAAAAAAAATAAAAGTCCAAGTCCTAGTCCTAGTCAAAGTGAAAGTTTAAGTGATAGTAGAAGTAGAAGCAGAAGCAGAAGTAGAAGTGCTAGCAGTAGCTAAAGTAGTAGCAGCAGCAGCGAAAGTAAACCTTAGCATAAAAAACATAAATGAATTTATTAGCTAAATTATTTTTTAATTTGAAAATATTCTAACCTTATTATGTAAGCAGTCTATTTATAATCCATAATTCTAAAATGAGTTAATAATTTCAAAGATGTTTAAGAATTAAATAAGATTTTTAATTAAAACGTCAACTTATAAATCATTAAAGGGTTTTTAATCTAAATGTAGATAAAGTAGGGAAAATATCTTGATAGTATATATAATACAATACTTGATGACCCAAAAAATTTTGCCATTTAAGAGTCTGTTCTAAGATTAAATTTAGGAGTAACCATTCTCATCTGTTTATTCCTTCTTTTTTAAATTAAAGCCTGGATATTTTCCTGCTTTGCCTCATGTATTTAATGTAACTGGCTCATAGGAAGACTGCTTAAAATCTTATTGAGAGTATAATTTGCTCTATTAAAAGAACCTGATGAGATCTAATTACTTTTTTCTTTATACTATATACCTCTCTAATTATGCTGTTTAAAACCTGCTCATAGAAAATGGCTTTCTTTTTATCATCTTCTATTGTTATCTTTTTAGATTAGCTAAAAATATTAACAATATTACGCTCAGCCTTATTATTGTTTTGGTTGATATTAGGTTAATTGAATTCTTGATGAATTTCAGTTTTCTTTTAATTCTTACGATGTAATAACTCAAAATATTATGGAATACGAAATTAAGTAAGTTGTTAAAATGATTAACTATACGGTATAGGTATGTTTGAGTAATCCAAATATTTTCCATCTTCTTACAAAATCTTTTTGTTAGCTTCAATTAATTCAGCGTAAGGTGAACTAGGTTTTTTTCTCATAATAATTAATTAATTATAATGATAACAAGACTTGTTATAAATATTAATATAATAACAAAAAAATAATATAAACATCTAATCAACATAATTATATAATTCTCCTTACCTAACAGGATTAATCAAAATTCCCTTTATTTAAATCAAAGAATGGATGGAAAAAATAAAATATTATATAATACTTTGGTTGGAAATTGAGAAGAGATTATTACCAAAATGCAATTAAATGAAAATCAAAATATTTAAATTCTTCAAGTTTTTTGAAAACATCAAGAAAGAAGCAATATTAAAAAATACCCTAATAATAATGATGAATATTAAAAGAAAGGGTAAAGAATGTTATTTTTTTTAATTAGATTAATTGTTACAATTAGTGTTGATTATTACATAATAATAAAGAAATGTTTAAGAATATTTTATTATATAACACTTAAATAATGACCATGAATAGAATAAGAATATTTATTATTTTACTCTTAATAATTTAATTAAATAATAATTTATTGGCAGAATTAATAATGATAAGAAAGAAATCATTCTATAAAACATTTTAGTAAAATAAAAGTGAATTAACAGATCAATAGATTGAAGCAAAAAACGAATTTGAAATAAATCAATAGTAAATGAATAAAGCCATATTGATTTTGGTTGTATTAAGTATAACACAATCAGTTTTTGTTAAAAGATCAAACGATCCTACAAAGGCTGTTTTTACTTAACTTGAAGCTATGGAAGAGCATGAATTAGGCAAAAAACTATTAGACACAATAGCCCTTTAATTAAACAATAAAGCCCCATTGTCAGATATTGCAAAGATGCTTTAATAATTAAGGGAAAATCTAATTCTTAATTAATAAGAAGCCGATTAAAAGCATGCTTAAGATGAAGTTGATTGTGAAACAGAAATTTACTAATACAATAGAAGAATAGATTATGCTTCTGCTGAAATAACAGATTCTACAACAGAAATAGCAACATTAACTTCAAAAGTCGAATAATTGGCTTAAGATGTTGATAACAAAAAAATATAACTTGATATTTTAAATGAATAAGAAACATAATTAACTGAATAAAGAGCTAATGATGCTGACGATTTTATAAAATTTGAACATGAAACTGAAAATGTGATAGAAGCTATTGAAGTTATTTTTACCAAATTATCCTCAATTTAACCTGAATAAGAAGTAGTTTAAATTTTAACATAATTAAATTAAATTGGTGCATCAAATCCAATTTTAGCATTAATGTAAGTTGCATCAACATTCTCAAAAGATCAATTAAACAATGTTTTAAATAAATTGAGTGAAGTGAGTGCATCTTTGGAATAAAGTCTACATGATGCCAGATAATCTGAAATATAAGCTTAATTAGATTATGAAAGATTAATGGTTGAAATAGAAAGTTAAAGAGAATCATTGTCATCAGCTAGAGAAGATTCTGAAAGACAATTAAAAGATAATGAATAAGCATTAGATCTCTAAAAAAAGAGAAAAGAAGATGCTACTGATGAATTAAATGCTGCCACTTCAGGTAAAGAATAAAAAGAAGGTGAATGTGATGGATGGAGAACTTAATATGCTGCTGATACTGAACATAGATAATAAGAAATTTCAATTATTAGATAAATTGAAGAAATATTGGCAACTAAACTCAAAAACGTCAAAGTGTACTTATTAGAAAGATCTTCTTCATGATAATATTTTTATTCCAATTAAAATATTTTTATTATCTCTTCGTAATAGAAGCAAATTCTTTTTTCTTTATTAATATTTAGGATTAATTAATAAAGTCTAATTTAATAATTTGTTTCACAGTATTTCTAAATTATTAGTAAATGGAATAATTTAATTATAGTTTTTATAATGTTATAGATATACTATTAATTAAATGGATTAATAAAATGATGTCGTAACTTAGGGTTAATCACAAGAATTGAATGAATAACAGGATGAGACTTCAACTCAAAATGAGCCAATAGAATAAACTATTGCTGAAAACCCCCCTATAACTGAAACCATTCCAATGATCGATCCATCAATTGATTAAAATAAAGATCAACCTACAAATTAAGATAATAAAACAGAACAATCAAATGATCCTCCTGCTTCAAATCCAATTTACACTTATTCAATTTTGGCAAAAGAGTTTATTTTATTCAGCCTTCCCTATTTATATTTTATATTTGCTGCTCTTTATAGGATTTATTAGCTTTAAAANGATTATGCTTCTGCTGAAATAACAGATTCTACAACAGAAATAGCAACATTAACTTCAAAAGTCGAATAATTGGCTTAAGATGTTGATAACAAAAAAATATAACTTGATATTTTAAATGAATAAGAAACATAATTAACTGAATAAAGAGCTAATGATGCTGACGATTTTATAAAATTTGAACATGAAACTGAAAATGTGATAGAAGCTATTGAAGTTATTTTTACCAAATTATCCTCAATTTAACCTGAATAAGAAGTAGTTTAAATTTTAACATAATTAAATTAAATTGGTGCATCAAATCCAATTTTAGCATTAATGTAAGTTGCATCAACATTCTCAAAAGATCAATTAAACAATGTTTTAAATAAATTGAGTGAAGTGAGTGCATCTTTGGAATAAAGTCTACATGATGCCAGATAATCTGAAATATAAGCTTAATTAGATTATGAAAGATTAATGGTTGAAATAGAAAGTTAAAGAGAATCATTGTCATCAGCTAGAGAAGATTCTGAAAGACAATTAAAAGATAATGAATAAGCATTAGATCTCTAAAAAAAGAGAAAAGAAGATGCTACTGATGAATTAAATGCTGCCACTTCAGGTAAAGAATAAAAAGAAGGTGAATGTGATGGATGGAGAACTTAATATGCTGCTGATACTGAACATAGATAATAAGAAATTTCAATAATTAGATAAATTGAAGAAATATTGGCAACTAAACTCAAAAATGTCAAAGTGTACTTATTAGAAAGATCTTCTTCATGATAATATTTTTATTCCAATTAAAATATTTTTATTATATCTTCACAATAGAAGCAAATTATTTTTTTCTTTATTAATATTTAGGATTAAATAATAAAGTCTAATTTAATTATTTGTTTCACAGTGTTTCTTAATTATTAGTAAATGGAATAATTTAATTATAGTTTTTATAATGTTATAGATATACTATTAATTAAATGGATTAATAAAATGATGTCGTAACTTAGGGTTAATAATAAGAATTGAATGAATAACAGGATGAGACTTCAACTCAAAATGAGCCAATAGAATAACCTATTGCTGAAAACCCCCCGATAACTGAAACCATTCCAATGATCGATCCATTAATTGATTAAAATAAAGATCAACCTACAAATTAAGATAATAAAACAGAACAATCAAATGATCCTCCTGCTTCAAATCCAATTTACACTTATTCAATTTTGGCAAAAGAGTTTATTTTATTCAGCCTTCCCTATTTATATTTTATATTTGCTGCTCTTTATAGGATTTATTAGCTTTAAAAACTACAAGCAGTTACACTACAAAGATAATCCATACGATCTCAATTAAGTGATGAGGATATGTAATTATTAAATTAATTTAAATTAGTCCCAAAACCAATCCTCCATCTTTGAATATCAAAATTATCATATCATATTGGCTTTGTTTGGTATGTACTGTATCAATGACATTGGGATTTTTTGGTCTAATTATGACAATATCACCAAAATTATACTTCATTTGGTTGATACCAATTGTTGCTCATATTATTTCTGTTATTTTGCTAAAATTAGAGTTTAAGGTTTAAGAATAATAGGCAACTTGGACTCATAGAGTAATAGTTTATCTACTATCAAATAGATATTTTGGCCTTTATAGACTGCATTTTTGGTGGTTAGAACAACTTAAGAATATCAAACTCTTTTGAGTAGTGGATTAATAATTTTGTAATTGTTCCCATCATTGATTTTATTGATATATGCCTTGTATAGACCGAATGATCGAACAAGAATACCAGATGATACACCAAAATTTGCAAAATAATTGATGAAATAATTAGAAGAATTCAAAATATTTTAATCAGAGAATAATTCAAATAGAGAATCTATGTTAAACAGGACTAAAGCAAAGAAAGAAAATACTACTATATCAAAATAATTATCATCAGCATTTTCTGATCTCATATAAAGCAAAAATCAAAATGAATAAGAACAATTCTTAAGGGAAAAAATGCCAGAAAGGAGTGTGAGTGTAAGTAAAAAAGTAATTAAACGTTTTGTTAATGACAATGAAATACTTTATTCATATATGATTATTACTATAATCGAAGGACATACTTTTTAATCAGAAAAGCGTTACCCTGAATTTTTAAATATTGAGAGAGTGCAAATTGACCACTTTAATAAATACAATGCAAGTTCATTTAAAATACAAAGAATAGATCTATAATTGGGTGAAGATGAATTTTCTTATGTTTTAAGAAGGAGAGAATATTTAGAACGATGGTTATAAGATTAATTAGCCAATCCAACCTATATCACAAAAAATTTACTTGATTTCTTAAGTGTAGACGAAGAAATGCAACAACCATTTTTAATATATTAATAATTGATTTCAAAGACTAAATCTTAGATAAGACCTAAAAGTTATTAAAAAACTTAAGAATATGAATTATAAGCTATCAGAGTAAATTCTGAAGAAAATTTGGTTGCTTTAGATTATTCTGAACTTCAATTCTCTTCTAATTGTGTCTAATATGAGTATGGAATGTATGGATCTAATTCAATAGAATTTGTTATCAACATCAAATACAAAGAAAAGTAAACTTATATATAAATAATGTTAGAAGCACAGAACATGTTTATAGGATCTTGAAAACACTTTCTTGTATTAGATAATTTAGTGAGCAACTTGAATTATAAAGTGGTCGATCATTACCACCTAATTTGAAAGTTACAAAACAAATTTTAAATCTAACAACAAATGAAAAAATAACCTTTGTAGATGAATTTTTTAGAGAATTATTAGGAAATCATGAATACTTTTCAAGTGAATTTTTTGATTTTATAGGATTTGATATTAATAATAGATGTCCAAAAGATTAAAGTTGATCAATTTTTATAAAATTAAATTATTTATTATTATAATAATACATAACTAAATGAAAGATCTTTAAACTTATTATAATAATAACAATTTTCATGATTAAATTATATATAGATTGGATTTCACAGCCATCTAGAGCTGTAAAGGCTGTTTTAGATATCCTCAAAGTCCCTCATGAAGTCAAGGCTTTAAAGATTTAATTTGATGAACATAAGTCACCTGAATTCACAGCAATTCATCCATTATAATAATGTATTCAAATTAAAAAA